CTATCATCTGAAAATAAAATTAGCATTTTAAGGCCGGCCAGGTAGCTAAGTGCGCCTGCTTAGGCAGAGCGCAGCGGCCAGGGTTTGATCCCTGGCGTGCCAGGCCAGCCCAACCACCCGGGCGCACTAAAACGGGGATTGAGACTAGGCATGGTGGCACATGCCTGTAATCCCAGCACTTGGGAGGCTGAAAAATAGGAGAATCACTAAGAGTCTCATCTATGTGGTGAGACCCTGTAGGCCCTGTCCTAAATATATTAAAAAATAAAATTAGCATTTTATATATTGAATATGTAAATATGAATATTTTGCCTGAATTTGAATATGAGGGAAGACAAAAAAAAAAAGAACCTGATATTTACGAAGGATGTACTTAAGAGTGTGGTATACTGTAAAACAAAGCACATAATAACTATACTACAAATGAGTCTCAGCAAAGCACAAAGGCACAAACCCATATTCCTAGGATCTGGAGGCTGAGATAGGAACATCACCAGGCATTTGTGGTCAGCCTGGGGTACACTATAAATTTAAATCCACCCTGAATTACATAGAAAGACCCTGCTCAAAAACTGAAAACAGGGTTTTGCCAGATAGCTCAGTTATTTAAACGCTGCTTGGGTAAATGCAGGCAGGTATATAGGACTACGGTTCTATTCCCAGCTCCAGAAGCTGTACCAGGATCTGCCCTTAAGGCAGCCTGAAGTAGCCAAAAAAACCAAAACAAACAAACAAACAAAAAAACCCTCCTTCTCAAAAAACTAAAAACAGGGCTGGTGAGATGGCTCAGTGGTCTAAAGCACCTACTTAGAACAAGCTAAGCCAAGCAAAGTACAGGGACCGCGGTTCAATCCCCCAGCACCACATGCCAGCCAGCCCGCCCCCTGGTGGGCTGAGCTGGCCACACACACACACACAAAAAAAAAAAGACCTAAGAACAAGAGCTTCCATTCCCTCATAGATGAGGCAATAAAATTAAGAATGCAAAAGTTATAGAATGTAAATGCCAGAAATTTGTAATAAACAATGATGAACACAATCGCCTTACAAAGCAGAGTTCACAAACTGAAAGTTTTCACACAACTTTTTTTGCTATCAGGAATTTAACTCAAGACCTCACACTTGCCAGATAGGCACTGTGCCACTGAGCTATATCCCTGGATTTTTCACATTAAGGATTCTTTTTGAAAGATACAGAGCCAGGTATTGAGGTACACGCCCGTAATCCCAGCTCCCAGGAGGCTTTGGCAGGAGTATTGTTGAAAGAGTTCAGCTAGGTTACAAAGTGAGTTCAAGACCAGCCTGAGCGGCATAATGAGACCCTGTCTCAAAAAGAACAAAAGAAGGAAGATGATGCAAAAGCCAATTCCTGACTTGTGTAGCAATTTGGCTCAAGTGATATCTAAATTTCTTCTAAGTACTAACACTATTGACCTGATCATTAAGGACATGATCACTAAGTTTTTGCTTTCCTCAATGTATCAATGTAAACTGATTAAGTTATCTTACCTATGAGATTCTTGCTCTCCTTTCATTTTCTCTACTTTTGATAACATATCATCAACTTTAAATGTTTTCCTGGAAGAAACAGATAAACAAAATAATCACTTCTCAACTGGGAAAAAGCAAATTATACTTTATTGTAACTATAATAGGCAAGATAGAAATCTAATTTTTAAAATTATTTTCAAAAAAATTATTTTTAGCAAGATATATCATGATTAACAATAATAAATGTATTGAGACAGTGTATGTTAAAATACAGCAGACATGCCTTCAAGCCTCATATCAAATGCTTTCTCATGAAATCTTTTATAATTATCCCCAAGTCAGTAATTTCTCCTCATTCATTGCACTCAGTATGTATATATGTATGTATGTGTGAGTGAATTTTTGCAGTACTGGGAATGAACTCAGAGCCTTCATGACTAGTTACATCACCAACCTCTTCTAAATTTTGAGACAGGGTCACAACAAGCTGCTAAATTGCCAAGGCAGGACTCAAATTTGCCCATCTTCCCACCTTAGCCCTGGTATTACAGGCATGAGCCATCACACCTGGCTGATTTATATTTCATTTATATTTATTTTGATATATTTCCTACATGTGAAATCTGTGATAATTTTATTTCTCCTACTAGATTGAGGTCTTGAAGGATAATTTGCGTTCAAGCATATAATGTTTCATATAATGTCTTCTGCTTGGTAGGATTTCAAACAAGTATTTAAGCGAGCTAAATAAATACTGCGTATTTTGAAACAACCATATTTCTAT